GCAAAATTCCATTTATTATAAATTTATCCTGTTTGTCTTATTAGCCAAAGAAAAGGATCATACTTTATTTAAAAGAATAGAAAATAGAGGCTTTAGGACGCGATATATGAAAACCATATATTAACTGCGAATAGGTTTTGATGCTTAATCAGTATAGCTGTCTCTTAACGCAACACCCATTGTTGTTCCTCAATGAAATACCGCTTGGGCAGGTGATAAAGGGTCATTTTAATAAGCGTTAATTCATGCAAGCAATTTCTTTCACTCGGTTTTTATTAGGACCGGAAATAACAATTAAATTAATGAATGTTGGTCGTTAATGTTAAGGGATGCCTGTTATCCTGTTTACCGTATTTTAAATGATCCATCGGCGGCTTCTCTTAAATATATGGCCCTTGTCTACTAAACGCCCCGAGTTTTTAGAATCTGAGGGTGAAACTTAAGTATCTCACGTGGGAATTGAAGCTATACTTGAAGAAATGAAAGCTTATTAGCAAAAAAAATAATGTCAACATAGTCCATTTACATTGTAAAAACGTTGCTTGTAAAGTTCACAGTTTATAAAGTTACTCATGAGTTAGCCATTAAGCAATGATGCAAGCTTTACTCATCGCCAACTGTGTCTTCAACGCCTTCTTCAGTTTTACCGCCATCACACTAAACATTGTAACAATAATCGCTCTGAGAAAACCATTGACGATACCAAGAGCTGTAAAAATATTGCTGCTGAGTCTGGCTGTATCTGATCTTGGTGTTGGTTTACTGGTTCAACCTTTGTACATTACACGTCTTATAACTGCAAATTTTTAAGGCATTTGAATGAAACTTTTAAATTAATAACTTATGAAGAGCACCATTTGTGGATTGAAAAGGAATTTTTAAGAAAAAGTGAGACAAAGGTGAATAACTGTCAGCAAGAGCTATAATAGGACTGTCCTATTATGGCTCTTGCTGTCAATTATCTAAGAACTTTAAGCAGACATTAAAGGCTTTTTTAAAGCGAAAAGAGCAGCGCAAGGAATTCACTGGAAAAAACAAGTATATTGAACAAAACCTGAGTTTTCATTTTCTCACTCGTTTAGAGGAACATGCGTGATCTAAAAATGGAACATTTCAGTCAGTTAAAGGAACAAAAACAAGCGGGATTTGAGTTCATGAGTCTATATTTGAAGGAGAAGCTAATTCGCGAAGAAAATTAAAGAACTGTAACATCCAGTGGACAGACACAGAGTTCGATTCTAAAGTTTTGAGTTTTTCAAGCAAAAATTAAACTCTACTTCAATAATTATGCGTTGCCGAGTGTATTTTTCGAGCTTTCGAACTTAATCAACATCAAAATAAATGCTAAACGAAACCAATCAAAGACTATAAAAAAAGTATTTGACGCTATTTATATGTTAACCGACGAATTTCCAGCTCCTTCTATTTTTTCCCTCGCTTACCTTTTTTTGTTAACTGTTGTTGTCACTTTAACATTCACTTTTAATTTGGTCACTGTCATTTATTTGCAACGCATTTGCCAAGATCATAAAATTTGAAGAAAACCTCCAGCAAGTTTTAACTTCATGATTTTTTCAATCAAATATACCCTTAAATTTGCATTTACTTTAATTTATCTAACACAGCACGTTAAAAACAACAATTTTTAGAATTTTTGAGGGTGAATCTGAAGTATCTCGTGTTAGAAGCTGGACTTAAGAAAGAAAAGCATATTGATATAACCAACCATTTCACTTTGGAAGATTTTTTAGAAAGTTATTACTTTGCCTAGTGAGTTATCCAAGACGGTTATAATTATGCAAGCTTCATTAGTCGCGAACTGCGTCTTCAACACCTTCTTGCCTTTTACCGCCATAACGCTTAACATTGTGACAATACTCGCTCTGAGAAAACCATTGACGATACCAGGAGCTCTAAAAGTATTAACGCTGAGTCTGCACTGGCTGTATCTGATCTTGGTGTTGGTTTACTAGTTCAACCCTTGTATATTACAAGTCTTGTCATGCTGATAAAAGAAAACACTCAAACTCTAACTCTTGAGATTACTTTTCATCAATTTTAGGAAATCATCAGAATCAAGAAAGTTAAGTTATGGACACAAATATGATATAGCGATAATAATGTTTAGAGTCATTTTTCTCAGCTTAAATGAAATTCTTGCTAGCAAGCGATGTGCTAGCACTAAAAAGTTTCCCTGTAATAAGAACCATTTTGTAAAAACTTAATTTACTGTCAAGCTGTTGTATATGTTCTTCTTCAGTAATAAATAAATACTCGTCGCTGATTCCTGATAGAAAGACTGAACGGTAAAAGGTACAACAATTGCATACAAGAAGTCACAAAAGAAACGAATTGTGCGAAAAACGGCGGCAGTAAAAAGACTGAAGAGGAAAACGTTTTCACCTCAAAGCACTTGTCATCTTCTCTCTGTGTTCTTAATAAACTCTAAAAACAGAGTTCACGTTCGCAATCCTTCGCCAAAGGCAATATTTCAGATGGAGCACCCAACGTAAGCGAATTGTACTACTTTATTTGGCATCGTCTAAAATAATTTGCTGTAATCAAAGAATAGTAAAATTGTGAAGCATTTTCTTTTTTAGCTTCACCTTTCGGTTGCAGTATTGTGACTATTGTAATTATCTATTAAAGCAAAAGCGTTGCAATTAAATATAGCTACAACAATAAAAGTTACAACGCGAAAAAAATGCTAGCTCTTCCTTCAAATCCAGACTCATATGAACTCAGTTTCCGCTTTTTCTTTTTCTCTAACTGACTGAAATTTTTGATCGTTTGAAACACGGATGTTCCTTCCTACGAGCTCGAGCCGAACATGCCAACTTAGCGTTTGTGTGATATTCTTGTTATTCCAATGGCCTTCCCTGCCTTTGTCCTTTTCGTTCTATGGCTATGTGATAAATTGGAACATGCTTAAGTCAAAGAGAAAGAGAATTCGTTTTGAAATGACTCCTGGGTTCAAACCGTTCACAGTTCGTTTATTAGTACCAAAAATTCTAGGCAGGCATGTTTTAGTGAATAGACTTTTTACTTCCAAAAACCGGTCTACGTGGTAGCGATATGTAAAAGGTCACTGGTCTATAGAATAAAATAAACCTTTCTGTTGACAACGAAATGATTTTTGCTTTTTTAACAGTTCTTGTTTTAGGGGGGGAGAAGAATCATACCTGTTCCACCACCCCTTCTCAAAAGGAAAATGCAATGGAAATGATATGTTTCTTTTTCATAAAGAGAGATCACGTACTGAACCTAAGTATCCTTGACACTGAGCAGGAGCAGATAGTGTGGTGAGAGAAATAAGTTAAGTTTTTAATAGAAGCATGGAAGAAAAGACTTCGGGACTTTCTTTGTTCACAGTGACTGAATCCTTGATTTAACACTTCTCCAACCGTTTCTACCCTCCTTAATGGGGCTAAGCCAGCTATTGAGAGCTGGACTGCAGAACTTGTTGCGATCCTGTCTCCTTCTTAGAGGAGACATAAAAAAAATAAAGAACGTCACAGCTTTTAACTAAACGTTTTACTCAAAGAAATTTGCTTCTACTAACTCAATGAAGTTACAAGCTCACATTGCTTCGCCAAGGACAAAGTTTCTTTCTTTCTTTCTTTACCTTTGTTCAAGATATTATAAAGAACTGAATATTTGCAAAAAAATTTTAAACTACATTACGCCTTTAACGAAATCAGGCGTGTACACTAAAATTCAAAAAGGTACTTAAAAGTGTCGCAGATAACTCCCGCCTGACGAGCTGATACAGTGCGATATCATTACAAACTAGTTGCGTTTTTACCGAGAGTGATTTCTAAAAGCCTTTCCCATAAAACAGTAACGAAACACTGTAATTTTCAGGGAGTTATAATAACTCCTCTAGTGGGGCTAATTTCACTCCTTACAGTGGAGTTATTTTTCGTGGAGTTATTTTAACTCCAAAAAGGAGTTTAAAGAACTCTTTTTCAGGAGTAAAAGTGACCCCAGATATTGAGGAGTTAAAATAACCCCAAAAAAGGAGTTATCCTGTACCTAAAATTTTTACTCCACTTTCAGAGTTAAATTAACTCCAAAAAGAGTAAAAACAACCCATGTAAGGAGTACAAGTAACCCCATTTCGGAGTAATTTTAACTCCAGACTGGGAGTAAAAAGAACTCTTTTTCAGGAGTAAAAATGACCCCAAATTCGGAGTTAAATTAGGAGTTAAAATAACCCCCAAAAAGGGGTTATCCTGTACCTAAAATTTTTACTCCATTTTTGGAGTTATACTAACTCCCTAAAAATTATGGTGAATAAATGTAAATAAAGAGACGGAAAATCATATGTTAGGGCATCTGTCCATTTTTGACTCATGGTTTCTTAAATTTCTACAACAAGTTGAACCAGGTTGGCCCTTTTTCCAGCAAAATTCCATTTATTATAAATTTATCCTGTTTGTCTTATTAGCCAAAGAAAAGGATCATACTTTATTTAAAAGAATAGAAAATAGAGGCTTTAGGACGCGATATATGAAAACCATATATTAACTGCGAATAGGTTTTGATGCTTAATCAGTATAGCTGTCTCTTAACGCAACACCCATTGTTGTTCCTCAATGAAATACCGCTTGGGCAGGTGATAAAGGGTCATTTTAATAAGCGTTAATTCATGCAAGCAATTTCTTTCACTCGGTTTTTATTAGGACCGGAAATAACAATTAAATTAATGAATGTTGGTCGTTAATGTTAAGGGATGCCTGTTATCCTGTTTACCGTATTTTAAATGATCCATCGGCGGCTTCTCTTAAATATATGGCCCTTGTCTACTAAACGCCCCGAGTTTTTAGAATCTGAGGGTGAAACTTAAGTATCTCACGTGGGAATTGAAGCTATACTTGAAGAAATGAAAGCTTATTAGCAAAAAAAATAATGTCAACATAGTCCATTTACATTGTAAAAACGTTGCTTGTAAAGTTCACAGTTTATAAAGTTACTCATGAGTTAGCCATTAAGCAATGATGCAAGCTTTACTCATCGCCAACTGTGTCTTCAACGCCTTCTTCAGTTTTACCGCCATCACACTAAACATTGTAACAATAATCGCTCTGAGAAAACCATTGACGATACCAAGAGCTGTAAAAATATTGCTGCTGAGTCTGGCTGTATCTGATCTTGGTGTTGGTTTACTGGTTCAACCTTTGTACATTACACGTCTTGTCATGATGATAAAAGAAGACGCTCAAACTCGATATTTTAAGATTACTTTGAACTCTTTTTATGCCACAGGGACTTTTCTTAGTATTGCCTCATTCTTTGGTGTGGTGGCTCTAACCGCAGACAGATTCTTGGCTGTTCATTTTTATCTCCGATACCAGGAACTCGTGACTCACAAGCGCGTTGTTGCTGTAGTGATCTCGATTTGAATCATGAGTGCGATTCTGATGTTACAGTTCATATGGATTCCGTCAAATGTTGCCACGATTATTTCAGTACCTGTTGAAAGCGTTTGTTACCTAACTACAGCCTTCTTTTATTTCAAGATCTACCTAGCTGTACGTCACCACAGCAATCAAATTCACGTCCTGCAAGCACAGCTAGCACAGAATAATGAGGGAGATATGCACCGTAATTTTAAGGGAGTTGTTAAACTCCAAAAATGGAGTAAAAATTTTAGGTACAGGATAACCCCTTTTTGGGGCTATTTTAACTCCTAATTTAACTCCAGATTTGGGGTCATTTTTACTCCTGAAAAAGAGTTCTTTTTACTCCCAGTCTGGAGTTAAAATTACTCCGAAATGGGGTTACTTGTACTCCCTACATGGGTTGTTTTTACTCTTTTTGGGGTTATTTTAACTCCTCAATATCTGGGGTCACTTTTACGCCTGAAAAAGAGTCCTTTAAACTCCTTTTTGGAGTTAAAATAACTCCACGAAAAATAACTCCACTGTAAGGAGTTAAATTAGCCCCACTAGAGGAGTTATTGTTACTCCCTCAAAATTACAGTGTGACTAATGCTGCGAGGCAGAGAAAAGCTGCAGTTGGTACATTCTACGTGTATCTTGTGTTTCTGATTTGTTATCTGCCATCCACGTGTGGCTGGATTATCCACACAAGCACTGGACCAAGTACGATGCTATTGAAGTTTGGACTTTATACTAACACGCTGATCTTCCTCAATTCATCTCTCAACCCTCTGATCTACTCCTGGAAGATGAGAAATGTTAGACATGCTATCATGGAAATACTGAGAAACATATTACCAAATCTACACCAGTGAGGGAATAAAGATGTAGTAAAGAAACTAGGCAATAGACCGAGAATTAACAACTACGAAAATTGGGAGGAAACTTTTATTTTACGTCTCTTGATAGAAGTGCCATAGTAGGTAATTTTAAGGACTCGATTTCTGCCCCTTTCTTAGCGTGCAGTGACTGGTTTTCATGCCTAGGTAACTTTTAATGTGCCGTGCGCAAAAGGCAAACCGCTATCAAAATCCTTTAGTGCCGTTAGATATGTAGGTAACCTGTTCTTAACTTGTTTGTTTGTTTGATTGTTTGTTTTTTGCTGTTCAGTGTAAAAGCTTTAGGTTAGCTTGTTAATTCAAACGCCGAAAAAGCTGAAACTAAAAGTTTTTCGAAAATTTTAGCAAATCATCGTAATCAAGAAAGTTAGGTTGTGGACACAAAACGTGAGATACATGTGGTGATAGTTATTTGCTTCCACTAACTCAATAAAATTACGATCACACAATCCTTTCTCCAAGGACAGAGCTAGTAAAATTCGGCGAATACGTCAATACTTCAGTTACCTTCGGCTCAGAGAATTATAAAGATCTGAAATTTGAATAAAAAAATTCAATAATAGGCCTTTTACCAAGTCGAACGTGTACCCTTTGAAACTTTAAAGATGAAGTGAGAGAGGACCAAAACGAAATCAAGATAATCTCGCCCAAAGAGCTGATACAGTGCGATATCACTGTTAACTGGTGCATTTTTAATGGGTGCAGTTACTAAATTAAGCCTGTGCCATAAAACAGTAAAGACATAAAGGGGAAATGAAAGAGACGGAAAATCATCTCTTGGGGCATCTCTCCATTTGCGACTCATGATTGAAATTAAGGCGCCATGTCGCGGTCAGTTTCGCATTTTCAGGTCAAAACTGAAGTGCATGTACTGAGTTATCTTCACTCATCTTCATCATGACTGGAATCTCCAGAAAATGATATCAAAGGAATTAAGTCTTTCAGTCAAATCGAACGCAAAGAAGCTCGGCAATGCAACGTGTACAACAACTTTGAAAGTCTGGGGGAATCTTTATGATTTGCCTTTTTTCAATGTCAGTAGTTATTTGCGCCGCTCTCTGAGTGTGTGCTCATTTCCCGAGCGACTGGTAATGGCGCCTGTGAGTATTAAATTTCTGAAGATGCCGTGCGCAAACCGATATGCACATTAATTAGTGCTGTTAGGTATTTAGGTAACTCTTTTAAGTGTAAAAGCACAAAGTTATAGATTGTTTAATTGGAACACCGAAATAGCTGAAATGAAATGCTTTACGTAGATTTTAGCCTGAAATTATCTAAGAATAGAGGAAGTGAAGTTGTTTCCATTTTTCTCCGCTTAAATGAAATATTTGTTAACATGCGTTGTGCTAGCACTAAAAAGTTTTTTTTCAAGCTGTTGTAAATGTTCTTCTTTACATTCTAAAAGACCCAAAGGAAGAGAAAGGTGCGCAAAACCGGTGTCAGGGAAAAGACTGGCGGAAAACATCGGGACGCCAATGTACTTGTCAGCTTCTGTCCGTGGTTTTGTTCAATCTGAAATAGCCGGTCCACATAAATCCTTTGCTAAAGGCAATGTTTCAGGTGGGACACTTCGTGAAAGCGATGTTGTACTTTATATGACATAGTTTAAAAGGATTTGCTTTATTAAAAGAAATTTAAAATAATACTGTCAGGCATTTCCTTCTTTTCCTTCACTTTTTGGTTGCAAAAATTCTTGGAAGCCATATTTTATTGCATAGTTTTTTTGCTAGACTTCAAGAAACGGTCTGAGTGGCGGCTTTCTCTATTTACAGTCAGTGACTGAATAATCATATTAATAAAACTTCCTCTAGCCGCGCCGTTTCTACCCGTTAAACCGATTGTTAGGACTAGGTCAGTCGCTTGAGCGCTGAACTGCAAAATTCGTTGACAAAAAAAAGACATGAGGGCTTTCAATAAGGTTTAACTCAAAGAAATTTGCTTCTAGTAACTCAATAAAATTACGAGGTCACGTTCCTTAGCCACGGAGAAAGAGAATCTCGACGAATACGTCAGTACTTTACCTTCGGTTCAAGGTATTAAATTGTAAAGAACTGAAAATTTGAATGAAAAAATCAAAACTACACCTTTTACGTGAACACTCTGAAATTTAAAAGATAAAGTAAGAAAGAACATGCGAGAAAATTCCGCCCAACGAACTGATACAGTGCGATCGCATCGTAAACTGCTTGCGTTTTTACTGACAGAGATTTCTCGAATTGGAAAGCCTGTTCCATAAAACAGTAACGACATAAAGGTAGAGAAAGAGACGAAAAATCTTTTTGGGGGCATCTATCCATATTCTAATCCTGATTGAACTTAAGGTGCGATATAATCAATAGTGAGTATCGCATATTCGGGTCAAAACTGAACTGAGTGCCTACAGTAGGTATCTTCAATTATCTTCGAATTATACTAAAATCTCCTAAAAACAATACCAAACGATTTTTAAAAGTCTCTCAGAGTCAAATCGAAAACAAAACACGTCATCCTTTGTTGGTAAATGTCTACTGCTATAGTAACAACCAGTTAAACTAATCAAGTCCGCCCTTTTTTCCAGTCAAAATCTATTTCTAAAGCAGAACGCTCTGGATTCTCCTTTATTGAAAAAAAAAAAAGAAATAAGGCAAAGGACACGATATATGAAAAACATTAATGCCAAAAAGGTTTTAATGTTTGATGAGAACATAATGTATGCCTTTAATAACCTAACACCGTCACACTGCTCAGGCAGGTGAGAAAGGGTTTTAATTAGAGTTAATTCATGGAGCCGAATTTCTTGGACTTCGCTTTTTATTAGAGAACGACGAAATAATGTAGGTCATTATTATCAAAAGGATGTCTTCTAAGTATTCTGTTTATCTATTTAAAAAAGACAACGAATTCTGCCTTATTGGAAAAAAAATATATCATTTACATCGAAATAAAGACACAAGACACGACATATGGAAATCTTTAATGCCAAAAAGATCTTTTCATTCCTCATTGAGAAACAGTTTAGGTAGGTATAAGATCAAAGCTACTCTGCTAGCAGGGTAGGCAGGTGTTAAGAAAGGGTCAGTTTAATAAAAATTAATCCATGGACGCCATTTCTTAGACTCGGTTTCATTAGGACCGAACATAACCATTAATAAAGGTAATTACGTAGGTCATTATAGTTCAATGGATGGCTCAGCGTTTCTCGTTTATTTTCGTTAAATTTAAACAGAAAGGTTTTTTGAGGTTCGTGTTAACACTTTAAAATTGTTTTTCCACTTTATGGAAAAAATAGAAGTTAGTAGCAATTCTTGCAGGTGTTCGGGGTGGCCCGATCTTGGGATTAATTTATGAACTACATAATTTGTCACCACATGGTAGAGCATTAAAACTATAAGTAATGGTAACAGGACTGCTAAAAGTAATGGTAACAGGACTGAGTGGGGTCCAATTCGGTCTGTAATCATACAAGTGATTAACAAAATCAGACGACCACGTAGCGGGAGTCCGATTTGTTTAATCACGAGTATGATTACAGACCGAATTGGACGACACAAAGTTCTGTTACCAATTTAATTAATCATAACTTTAACCTGAAAATATGTGATATGTAGGCTCTTTTTTTAAATCAAAGCACAAGAAATTCTAAGCCCTTCTTTTTTGCCAGCAGTGAAAAAAAGCCATTTAAGCGCGCGCCTGATTGCCCGTACTGTCCAATTATTTAGGAGTGACGCACACTGCCCTATTTTAAAACCTGTCCCATTAAGGCTGAAACCAGGGCAGTTGATAGCCAATCAGATTTGACAATTTTGTTACAGTTATGAATATAATAATAATAATAATAATAATAATAATAATAATAATAATAATAATAATTACAAAAAACATACTTTAAATACAAATTTAGTATAACTATAGTTAAAAAAGACTTCTTGGTGGTCTGGTGGTTTTCAACAGAGCAAATGTAAAACAACTGTCTATAAACTAAAAAATGAAAATTTCTATGTACATCCCCATAATAAAGTATCTATAGCTGTTGACTCTAGGGAAGTCCTAATTGACCCTTCTCTATTCCTAGATCCCTGTCCTTAATATCTAAGTTCCTCCTTCTCGGGGTTCTCGATCCCCTCAGGCATAGGAGCGCGCTCCGCAAAATTGCAAACGACACTTTCGCCCTGACCCATGAAATTGTTGTGGCGTAGCTCTCTTGCTTTTTTGCAGATAATAGCTCGGCTAATCTTGAGTGGATCTCAGGCATTCGTCAGCCATCCCTCCCGTCGTTGTAAATACCAATGGGGTGAATGTGCCTTGCTCTATTTCTGTGACGCGAGAGTTGTATTTTCGCTTCTTTTCGTTTTCATGAATCCTGTAGATTTGCTTGGGGCTAAGATCTCTATACGAGTCCGCATTGGGACTACACACCCGGGGCTCGGTTAGTCCCTCTGGCAAGCTCTTTGCCTGTAATAGGTTGTAATGCCGGTTCAACTTGCACATCGCAACAAACCATGTCAAGCAGCTCGGCCTGTACATCGCGTATTTCATTGTGGCGCTGAATAACTAAGCCTCCACGCTGGCAGATGATCGTGTGATCTACTGTAAACATGCTCCCACAAACGCATACTGACGGATTATCGGGCATCGGCCAATCATATCAAAGCCTCACAGCATCACGAAATTCCCACTTGTTGAGATCAAAATCCATGTCTTTGAGAGGAATAACTGTAAGCCAGTTGGATGCGCCTTTTTCACAGGCCAGGTCCACGGCTCTCTGTGTCTTGTCTGGCAACATGGCCTTCACCTCCTCAAGCTCCTCTTTTAGCCCATAATCCTTTTCTTTCCGGGTGGCGTATACCAGTCGTTGTACCTCGGCTTCTTCTGGGGTCTCATGGGATTGCGCCTCTATTTTGCTTACAAGTGGAGCGCTTACCCTAATAGAGGCTGAATACTCCGCATCCGCACTGTCAGATGGATTCATGAGCCCAACACCTCCCATACGCACCGGC